GTCCGTACTTATTTTTGAATTTTGGTACATTAAAATTTTTTTATTCACCCTTGAGTGAGAATTAAATAGAGTCTACTGTATTATATAATATTTTACTTTCTTTTTGTTAAGCAAATTTTTTTCTCTTGAATACTAAAAATGTGCCTGAAATTATTTCCCATAAGAAATAATTGTTAAATTTTTTTATTAAAAAATAAGTGTTAAAATTTAATCCTTAATTCAAATGAAATAGTCTATATAATAAAACCAGTTCACATTTACCTTGGTATCTAAACCTTTTTTCAATCCTTATAATTCTTAGATACTTGTACATTTGTAAAAAGAAAATTTATCCGGTGTTACGCTGGTATCGCATAAAAAGATAATGTGATTGTTAAAAGTATTTTTGAGAAGAATGTTGATTAAATTTTCAATAATATTAAAATACGATTGTTATTAATAAAATATATTTTGATCAAGTTACGAAGTTGCCTTTCTATCAGAAACTTTTGTTTAAAACTATGTCTTTTATTAATTTTGATTAAAAATGTGGTTTGATAGAAAGTTTTTAATTAAAACTTATTTCATTAAAACAAGCTAATTTTTATTTATTTGTATTATGTTAAAGTTTACAATTCTCATCAAATTTCTGTATTTTGTTGAAAACTATTGTCAGAAACTAAAATGTCCGTCATTACCGTGCAATGATATTTTTATGCTAACTGGAGTTGCTATTTTTATTAAATTTTTTTTACCTAAAAAAAATTCAAAGTACTATTCAGATTGAACCTACGCAGTCGATGTGTAGCAATACAAAAATATAACTTTGTGTAACAATACAGAAATATAACTTAGCTTTTTTTTTTTCACTTACTATAATATCAAAGTGTATTAATTTCTTAATTAAATGTTTGATGTTTGTCAATGTAGCTTTTTGTGTACTGTGTATTTTTAAATAATTTTTGTGATTCTTAGTTCCATATATATATATATTCTACTATAAATTATCATTTTTTAAATAATTAGTGTTCTTAAATTGAAATAATGAGTTTCAAAACCGCACAAGTCCTCCATTGATTTTTTTTTTCTTTTATGAAATAATTCTTATTTTTGAAATTTTGTTATAATTTTTTTGTGGCAAATTAACTCATGTGGTCAAAATCTCTTGATTAACTTGGTAAAATATTTCTAAAATTATGAATTTTTTTGACTGATTTACAATTGAATTCTTTCTTGCATTGTTTTTTTTAGCAATTTAGGCTCAAGGTTATGTTATAGAATCCAATTGTTAATTCACAGAACTATATTTAAATCTATATCATTTATAGATCGAAATTCTTTTCGAATTTAATATTTAACAAATTTGCCCAATTATGTTGTAGTATCAAAAAATGATTTGTTACTTTGCAAGTCTAATAATCTGAATTGTAATCTGAATCTTAATAATTCAATGGAAAAAAGTTAAAAATGTTTTTAAATCTTGAATGTGTTTATTTTAACAATATTAAATTTTACAAGCTAAAACTAATTCATTTACTAAGTCATTTTAAAATCTAATAGTTGATTAATGCATCAATTTATAATTATTTAGGTCATACAGAAATTATTGACACAAATACTGTCACCGCACAGAATACGATTTTTTAAGTTAAAATATATAGTACATCTGTTACATATAAACGCTAGCCTCCTCAATGTACTTCTTCCATTTGGTTCTGTTGTCCAACATAAATTTGGAGAGCCCTTTTTTGAGGCTATTCGTTTGTTTTCTACGGACGATTGCTTGCAATTCTGCTGAAGATTAGCATCTGATTGTGTCCTTCATCTTGTTCTGTAAGTTGTAATTCCAAAGGGCCAACTTTGGCAATTATTGAGGTTGTGGTAACACAGGAAGAACACTGCAATAATATCTTGTGGTATCAATTGTGTCACAATTTCTGGCAATGCTCCTTATGCACGCCC